TTGCTGTTTTATCTATCTTCTGGAACACGTGTGTATGTCTGTACATCATTTTTTTTTCTCAAATAATTCTTTAAACTCCAAACAAATTATCATTTTCTTCCTGGCTACACTAGTGTGTATTGTATTACAGCATTCATGAGAAGGCACTAAAACAAAGCAGAACAACTACAAAGTGATTACCAGGAAGAAAACAGGGCTTTTCTAGTGTCCTTGGCCTCGATTTTATCACCTTAAAGTGATCACTTCCTTTCTATTGCTTTTTTCTTGTTTTGTGTATATTATTTCTCTGTGAAGTTATTCACATGAAATCAGCCTCAGAACAGTGCCAAATTGTAAATTTAACAAATTAGGTGAGAGGTGAGTCTGGGTGAAGCTCATAGCATCAGTGCACGGATCCTTTAATAAATCATTTGTAGTCTAATTATTTGAAAATACCTGTTATTAAAGTTCTGCTGGTTTTTCACAACTCTCATACTTAATAAATGGATGGTGATTCTGCATTATTAATTACTTCCAAGTATATTAGTTGGGGAAAATAGTCCTAGAGCAGCAGTCTCACTAAACCTACCTCTATCTATCACACAGTCAGGCTGTGCAGCAAGCGCCCCTGTTGCCTCCTTGGAGTTGTTGCTCCATGCTGAGCAAAATGTTACTGAGACACTGCTGATGGTGCTCCACCAGACTTCCTCAGGATCCTGGCACAGCAGGTGAGGTACCAACCGGTCTTGCTGACAGCAAGGAAAGGTGTCTTGGATCTGTCACCTGAGAAAATGCAGTGGGTTTTCTTTCTAGTTTTCTTTTTCCCTACAGGACTCCCAAGGGGTAAAGTTGGGTCCAAGTTTTATACATTAGAAAAACCCTATAAACAAACAAAAATATTAAAAAGAGAGATTTTGTTCCCTTTTCTCTTCTTGGCAAAGGCTGTTTTCTTGGTTGAGTACTGCAAAGTGTGTTGGAGCAAAATTGTCTTAAAAAACTAATCCTAGCCATAGTGCTGCTCCTCTATTTAGGTTTCACTGTTAGTATTTATGTGCTCTTCCTGAACTGAAATTCTTGGATGTTTCCTATTTTCCCTCTGAAAACAATGTTTGGTAAGAATTGTTGATTATTTAGGTCTGTAGAGCTGGTCATCGTAAGCTAAGGCATAGTGGACTAACTGGTGACCTTGTCTTGCTTTCGGCTGGGGTTTCTTCAGCTTGGTCTGACTAGGTCCAGGAGTGCTTTCCTGTTTTGACAGTTGTGGTCACTTTGCAGCTTCGAAACATGCAGGCAGTACTGTGTCCTTGACTGTTCTCCCTCCCCAGCATGTTGGTAACTCTCCCAAAAATTTTGATGCCTTGGGTAAAGCTGACTTGTGAGTTTTGTTTGTGATAGAAAGGAAAATTAAACCAGAAATGTGTAGCATGAGTTGGGGTGGAGGGAATCCAAGTGGTATGAAAGGATCGGAAAGGCAGCAAGGGGCTCACATGAAGAATGAGGGCTGTCACTGGGGAGATTCAACTGGGTTTTCAGTAATGTGAGTGAGCAGAGGAGGAAGACTAAAAGGAAGAAACAAAATCATGAGGTGTGGCCCAGTCCCACCTTCCCAGGGCCAGCACCTCAGCTTCAGCATCTGAGGTTCTGTATGCAAAGACATCCAGGGTGTTGCAATTGGAAACCCAGGTGCTGTGGGACTCATGGAATGTCTTCTCAGGAAGAGTAGGGCATTGCTGTAGATTATTTCCTCTGAATTTGCTAAAGTGCAAAACAATTTGACATGGTTTGTGAGGCAGCCACAGTGTTTGATTTTGAATAAAACCATACTCCAATAATAAGCATCCTTTTTCACAGCATGAGTTGAATGTATTGATAAAACATATTCAATCAATTATTCCATGCCATGGATTTTATCTGAAATTTATACACATGGTAAACTGAAACTATGTTTATTAAAACCAATATCACTTACTGTGGCAGGTCTCTAAAATACATAAATAATAATTTATTCAGGGCTTGTTAATACTTTAAAGCAATGATAATAATCCAGCATATTTTATTGATTTTTTTCCTTTAGATTAAAAGTTAATCAAGATTAAGTATTTATGAGACACAAATATCCTCCTGTCTCCTCCATGTCCATGTACTAACTTTTTATTTTATTTTGGAGCTATTCCTCCCCTATTATCTCTGACTTTCTACTGTGGTTTATGGGCTGATGATAATAGACATTTACAATACTCCATATTTCTTACTGTGGAATTCCAATGCAGGCAGTCCTCTTAACATGCAGTTGTAACGTGCTGCTTTGCTATAGGAAGAACTTTCCTTCTTTAATACATGTAGGTTGAGATCAAGTTGTAAAAAGCAGGACAGCTATAGTGATGTAGGGCAAGGTATAAACACCACAGTATTGATTAGAAAGGCTTGCCTCGCTTCTCTGCTTGCACGAGCGGAAGGATGTCACTGCCAACCAGGAATCGAGCCATGCGGATGACTGCAGTCCCTGGGGACTTGTGCCTCATGAAGTATTTTATATAGGAACAGAAGTACTGGATGTTTGAATGTGCTTTAGGAATTCCCATCAGTGGCATGTGGCTTGTGTGCATGTGTCTGTAGGCTTGCCAGCAGCTACTAAATGGCCGTCAGCAGTTTCTATTGTACAAACAGTGGCTTGTTTGGGGTCCTTCCCACAAATACACTTTATTCCCTCTGGCGCAAAGTCTCTGTTTTACTATATAATTACAACTGACAGCCTGGATTGGTAGAATCCAGCAAACATTCAGCAGCATCAGTCACGGCATGATTGATGTGAATGCTGCACACGGAGGCTCTTGCTCTGTGAAGGTTTTGGTTTGTGGCAGCTTGACAAACAGTTGGTGTTATTGGAAGGGCCCTAACATCCTGCATCTCAAACTGAGAGTGACTTCACCTGTTTACGGGGAATTCACCGATTCTGAAACACAGGAAGTGCAAGATGTGAACGGGCAAGACTGTGACTCCAGCACTAGGTTTTTCTGTTGTTTGTTTCAGCCTGTGTTTTATTACTAACTAAAGTTAAAACCTGTAGTCCGTACTGAGGCAGGGCACCAGTAAGGTCTGAGCAAGGCAGTACACCCGAGTCACCATGAATATAGACAGCATCAGAAGTCTGTATTCCACCATCTTGCTTTACCTTGTGCATGAATTATCCATTTGGGTGTGCAGAGGATGTTCATAGCAGAAGCTGCCATAGATTTGGTAGTCAATCTAGGACTCAAGGAATGTACAGGATAGGGAATAGGGGTCAGAACCTTCCTGCGGCAATGGTGAAAACTCACCTAGTATTGCAAGTCCATAAATTGGAGAGGGTATTGTTCTACAGAGGAGAAAAGAGGTTTGGAAAGCATGTTTGATTAAGGGAAGCTTTGTCTTATCCGAGTGATGTATGCTGGACCAGATTGTATCTCTCAAGTAGCTTCTAGCATTGCTCTCTTCAGCTTGGGTCCAGTAGCATCAGGGTAGGCATTTCTGTGCTTCATCTGAGGGTCAGGCCCTCTTCTGCCTTTGTCATTTAGCAAAGGTTTTTCATACTGCTGGCAAATTGCCCTCAGAAAATGAACCTTTTCTGTACAGGCTTGCAGGCAACTGGACTTGCACAGAAATATTTGGGCTTATGCCAGCATCACAGGTTTATATAGCTCTAGGATCTGATGCTCCTAAAAGTTTATCTGTAATTTTCATGTCTTCCTGTTAGTTTCATGCTCTCTATCTGTCATTCCAAATTCCAGCAGATGCACCTATAGAGAATTTCCCTGGAAAACAACAGCAACTATATTGGAGATGGTAGAAATATTATTGGAACTTTTGTGATGTACCTAGACTATGGGCTTCAAATTTAGGGGTTAATAAAAAGTGTTTTTCAGTATTCCAGGAAATTGTCAAGATCACTAAGTATTGTACTGACTTGACCTGTATTACATTGAACTCACTCTTTCCATGTTTCCAATAAAAACACACAGCAGATTGTTCCAGAACCAGTGTCAAACTCAGTTAAAAATAAATCCCCTCATTATTTAAACAGGTAGTGTATATGCTAAATATATCACCCCAAAATATACCTCATAAGGAAACCTACCTAGAATACATCAACCCTGAAATCTCCCCTGGGTCTTAGGCAAAACCATAGGTTTCAGTTATGATTCTTAAAAGTTAAATAATCTCTCTTCACTTGTCAGCCTCCTAAAGCTATTTGTTTTATTCTGTTTTTATTGCAACGCTGAACCAACTTTGCTTCATTCAAGTGCAGGATTTGTAAATAACTAATTATAGCCCTGTTTTTTCCCCTGGAAGCATTAACATTTGGCACTTTGGAGAACAGCGCCTTTTCAACTACCAGACAGTTGAGGGGAAGCGGTGGACTGTCTCTAAACAGTAGGGTACCACTGATAAGCTCTCTTGGACCCCTTCAGCTCCATCTCTGGAAATGGCAATCAGATGAGCCAGAGGGCAACTTTAGGAAACTGTTTTTCTCTAGTAGCAGTAACATCTGCCTCCTTGGCAGCCTCCGCTGGCACTTGTGTTGGAAGCTGTGGGTTTGCCCTTGGCCCCGCTATGTATTTACATTGCTGAGAGGTTATCCTGAGCTTCACTGGATCCTGTTACCTGTTTTTCTTTTGTTCTGTCATTTTCCCTCTCTGATGCTTTGGTCGCTTAACTCCTTATGGGTAACATGTAAAGCAAAAGTTAAGTGTGCAGTGGGGGATGAAAGGTACTAATCTGAAAGTGTTAGCTGGTAAATTCATTTTTGATTGGAGATTAAACTTTTCTAACCTGTTTAGCTGTAATTATTTGGCTTTATCCTAGGCAATTTCACCATCTCTGTCTGAGCTTTCGAGGGTGCTGCTCTCTACATTTGTGTCTTCTGCTCTGCGTCAAGTTCTCCTTGATGCTCTTTATTTCTCCTGCTTTTTACTCTCCTCTTCTGAGTCACAGATTTTTGACTGGTGCTTCATTTCAGTGGAACGATGTTGTTATAAAGACAATTATAAAGTAATCGGCACGGGCATATCAATATTTATTGAAATACTGAAAAAAAAATAACTCCATTGGTGATGGGAAACTCCTGGCAAGAACTGACATGACAATATGTATTTCACCAATACAGTAAGAGAACTTCAACTTCAACAAGTAACTCACTGCACATTCTAAGAGTTGCATGGATTTAAATCCAAGGCAGCTGCAGAACATCTGTAATACAAATAGTCAGACTTTACGGATTGTCTGTTTACAAACACGGAACAACTATAATAAACCAGCCAAAGCCAAACCCTTTGAATTTTAGTCTGCTTTTACTAATATGTCCTGTAATCAATAAGGCAGTCCGAAGTAAATGTCTGGTTACAAAGTAGTTAATAACTTGGGGGGGAAGTTTGGTGATTTATTTATTTTTCTTTAGTATATTTTTTTTTTGTTCGTGTACTTTGGGCAGTCTGCTGGGATTCTTGGAACCACAGATGCGGGCAAATATCTGAGATTGTTTCCATTAAAATGTACGGGAAATTGTTCCTTTCTTCTACACCCTTATTTTAATTCTTTTGTCCTGTACATAGATAACGGTGCCGTGAATACAGTTAGCAACACTTTTTTAAAGCTTTGTCTTAATATTGAGTGAGATTCACTGTAGCATCTCAACAGGAAAGAAAGAGAAAATACAGAATGCAAACGTTTGAGATGTGCTCTGTTTTTCTTTCAAAAAGGAAAGGATGACCACGCTTATCTTGTACACATGGGTTTCACAGCTGCCGGCAATTGCCACCAGCACCTTGCTTTCTGTTAATCTAGGTTTTTTGACGTAGAATGCTGTTATTTAAATAACTCTTGCACGTCTGCCATGTGGGATGGCTAAGGGAGCGGTGCTTGGTTTGCTTTTGGTCCGTAGGACAGTATGTGTGTTCTGTGATACAAGACAGGCATCTAGAAGCTGCAGACACTAGGCTTTGTTGTGTTTGTACCCTGTGCATGGACAGAATATTAGAGCTGATTAATACAGGTGATTAAAACAGTGTTCTTTGTACTGATGCGTATGTAATAACTAATGTCTTTGGTGTATAATGTGTGAATGTTTGGAAAAAAGAGAAATGAACCTCTTCAAGTTCCCATGAAACAGGAAAAGCTAGAACTCACATAATTTACAATAGATTTAAATAAACTACATTTAAGATTATGAAGATTTACAGACATTTAATCAAGTGAATGATTTTAATTTGTAAAGACCCTTGTGTGTCCCTGAACTATGTTCCACTGACTTGAAGACATGCTACAGTAAACACAGATATTTGGCTTCTTCATTCTGGCTATATCTTATATAAAGATGAAACCAAAGAACAATAAATTAGCATCATAATTGTCTACAGTGAAAACTATCATATACAATATAAATAAACTATTCAAAAGCCAGCAATCTTCATGAAAAAAAATTAAAGGATTAGGATTTTATACAGTTTCTACAAGTGATTGTGCAGCCAATAATCTCAAAAATTAAAGTCAAAATGGAATACCCCTATTGATTTTAGTGTCTCACGACATACAGTAATTAAGTACTGGTAAAATAATTACCAATTTAAAAGAAATAATAAGGAAATCACTGCTCTGCAATTTTATCACAGTTTTTTCCCCATAGGACCTAAAGAATGTAAACACTATGTTTTTGTTAATGTTAGAGATTAATACTTTATTTTAAATGTATGTTGATCCACACCTGCACAGTTACCTTTAAGGATAATGATATAAGGCAAGACTTAACTGTGGCACTACATGTTAATACTGATATCTTCATTTGGACAGAGAGAGAATTGTTTGTTCTTCTCCAATATTTGTTCTGCAGCAGACTTTGGCCTACACAGACACAGCAGTATCACTCTTCTTTCTTTGCGTAAAAGATGTGTATTACCTAACTTTAAAAGGGAAAAATTTCATTAGATATTGGATGTTTGAGCTGAAATTTAGTTTCTTAATTGCTGGCAATTTTAAAGATAATTTCTTAATAAGCTCCATTTATTATTAGGTCATAGAATTCATTTGTGTATTCTTGCATCACTAAATGCATTTTTTTTAAATCCTATTTTTTTTTAAATATCAATATTTGCTGTCTTAATATTTTATTTTTTATTTTTTTGTCAAAGAAACTATTGTTTGTGATGGCTAAAATATCTCCATTTCCTTTGTTTGAAATGGCCATAAATACATAACAAAGCCATGTTTCAGCCACTGCCCTAGTTAAGTATATATTTGAATTGGCTAAATTTTTTTTGAGTCTTTATCTTAACTACTTAATAGCTATCTGGTAATGGTAGTAGAAGAGAGATACTGCCTGATAGAACAACATGAACACGTGACAAAACAAACTTCAGAACATAGTTAAGAATGTCAAGCTAACTGGATAACAGCCTCTTCATATTAGCGATTTGCAGGCCTGAGAGACCGACAGTCAAAAGCAGCCTCTTAGGATTTGGTGGCGATACTACATAGCACATGGTCTCTCTCTTACAGATTGTTGAATGGATGCCACATCATTTATCACAGAAGTAGTAAGTGTTGGGTCCTTGGAAGGATGACAGAAGATGCTATAGATGCAACTCTGCATCTTTTATAACTGTTTTAGAAGTCTCGCTATACAGTGAAGGAATTTAGTGTGCTCAAATTCCCCACTATCTTAGCTTGATAATACACATCAGGTTTTTTTTTCTCTTAAGTTTCTTCATATTGGCAATCAGCAGAGTTAAATATACAAGAATCAGTCTGTCCTTTTCCATGTTGACGTTGGTGAGAGTATCCACTTGGTAAGTTCACTCCAGTATAAAGTCCTATATAGATTCCTTTGGGGATGTGTGTGTAGCATATGATTCACAGTTTGCAATACAAATACCCTGATACATCACTTATTTACTATTAGTATTTGATTATTATACCATTTTGCGAAGTCTTAAAACCACATTTTAATTAGTGTTGCTTGGAGCAGTTCAGAATATATATATATATATATATATATTTATTTTTTTCCTTGAAAGCAGAAGCTCTAATGGGTATAATTTATGCTCTCTTTGCATGCAGCATTTCAATGAGAAGGTTATTACATGGCACATCCCCATTCAGGTGTTTGTAATAGAGGTATTCTTCTGCCTGCATACTGATGGCCCGGATTTCTGGTAGTCGCAGGAGAAGCTGCCCAAATTTTTCTGTTTGCTGTGGGTAGTTACACATTGTGTAGTCCAGCAGAGCAGCATTCACTTGTTCCTGAACGCCTTCCACAAGCTGGAAGTTCTCAAGATTTTTGACATCTGAATGATAAAAAACAAAAGAAAGGTAACAGTTCGGTTGCATTTTAATTCCTGGTTATGGAGGCAGTGTTTCACTAAATTGATGTGTTTTTTTTCCTTCTGACAAAAGCATACTTTGCAAGCTGCTGAATATTCAGTGAACCCTTTTGCCAACTTTCCTGGGAAAATGATCACAAAAGAGCTTTAGCAGAGTGTCTTGTTGAAATTCTGCATATACCTCAAATCAATTAGACACCAATGGAGTCTGAGCAAGGTCAGCTCTTTTCATAGCTTACAAAAAGAAAGGTTGAGGATTCCTAAAGTAGAAGACCATAATATATTGCTAGCAAATGAGTCCCAAGAGGAAGCCCTATCTTTAACCTAGTATGTTACACAATTCATATAATTCTGTATTAATTTTTCTGACCCAAGGTGAAATCTGTGTCCAGGGTATGATGTAGTTAATTCTAATAAAAAGTGACAGGGTTCTTGTTTCTGTTTGACATTTTCTAAATGATTCTGAAAGCCTTTGACTTGTCTAGCCTATGTTAATGAACCATCTGGTACACTCCAGTGACTGCCAAAATAATCTTCCCTACTAGAAACTCTCTAAAATATATATTTCACTGACTAATGATCTTTATAAAATGAAATCATTGTCCTTTGGGTGGAATACCAGATAGGAATGGTGCCCTTTAACCTGAATATGGTTTCTGAAATCCAACACAGACTGGGGTTTTTTTTTTGGTATTGGACAACAGGGGCATTTACATCAGTAAGGCAGGTACAGTTTGTTCACTCTGCCTCTGTTTGATTGTCTTGTGTTCCTATACAGCAAGTTCAAGCTCTGGAAATGTTAGTCACAGATAAATGCTAGTATATTAACTCCTCATTATTTGCTTTCCTGTGTAAAAATTACTCTGATGGCATCATCTTTTGACATGTCTGGAGACTGCAGAAGCTATTCTGAAGCTTTATAGAGTGATGCTTTATAAACTTTGCTTTATAGAGTGCTGCTGTAATGCAGAAAGAGTGAAGCCATCAAAGTGCTCTTGCTGCGAGAACTTGATTTGGTTGGTGTTTGATCATTTATACCATCAGTAGTGTACTGTCACTTGCAGTTTCTTGTAATGCTAAAGCATAGTGATACTGGGCATAGCTATGCTGACGATCCACTTTGACTAGAGACAAATCTGCACTTCTATGGATGCTCTTGGAGCACAGGAGATGGGGAATTTGGCAGAATTAGGTTAATTGTAAATGCCAGCCTTTGACTGGAGGGGAAAAGAGTGTTTTCCTTTGCAAAACAGGATCACACAATGCTCCCCCAATCCATCATCAGCCTGGGAGGGTGTGTAGCTTGGGTTTCGCAAGCACCTTTTCCTACAGGGTGCTTTAAACAGAGCAAATATCGGCTCTTCCACAAAACTCTGTGCTGGAAAAATGAGGGAAATGGTTGGAGGAGGCAAATATTTTTTTCAGGACAAGAGTGTAGGAAGAATCCCAATGGCAGCCCATGGTAGCATGCACAGCCTCCAGGGACTGTTACATGCTTTAAGCAGGAGCCAAGCTGAAGCATGCTGGCTGCCAGGTGCACTTCATGTTTACCCTTGCAGGAGCTGTGGTGAATGTTTCTCGCTGTGCTCACTACTGCCTGCCTCTTTCCTTTCCCCATTTCACTCTGTAAATGAAACAGGTAGCTCTTGGTTTTATGCTGCTTGTTCAGGAGCTGGGGACACGACCTCCATCTGAATTTTGCTAGCTGTCTTAAGGAGCTCATTATCAATACTTAAATTCTGATGGCTGTCCAGCAAGAATCATCTGAACTTGGTATTACCCAGTGAGGAGAACTGGAAACTTCAAAGCTGCTATGCCTGGTCCCTTAGCTATTCAAACTCATTTATACAAAGTCTCTTTGCTAGCGTCTCTGGAGATCTGTTGGATAATCATGTTTTCATGTATTACGCTGGACATTTTCTCACACAAAATATAGCTGTTTATTATTTTTCCATACCTGCATAAAACTCCCAAGGCGTTTTGTAGCGAGTGTAACCTGGTTTATAAATTGGGCATTCTAAGCATATTTTTATGAAGTTAAGAAAGGCACATTATCAACTATCACAGTTATTTTAAATAGGTTGCTTTCAGATGCAAAATGCAATCATGAATGAATTGTCAGAACATAAGAAATTCCCACAGAAAACAGGGACTATGCTGGAGATTATACAGTGTTAAACAACAAGATAAAATGTATAATGAATTCCAAATCAGTATTTTGAACTTTTCTCCTCTGTTAAAAATAACTTTAATCATCAGGAGATTTTAGAAACTGTTGTTTGATTCATCCCCCTTTAAATTCAAAGGGCATCTTTGTGTTGCTGTTTCTGTTTTGAATTGTGCCATGAGATTAAGTTGTGCTGACTTCTTGGAAAACCAGGTTCATTCTCATTTTTGCTCTTTGTCTAAATGTTACTGCATGGAATACATGTTTACTGGCAACATCACAAATATCAAGAAGAAACAATATCTGAGAATTGCAGAGTTTTGGTATTTTTCTGCAAAAGTGGTGAATTCAGCATGCATTTTAGATATGCATTCCTTCTGCACTTGTATTGAGACCACACTCCATACGGAGTCATAATATTATATCTATATTACTCCCATATACAAGATCCATGACTTCTTGCAGTAGGTGTACCTGTGTGTTCCTATATGCTTGTCAGCTGCGTGGCCTGGCTGAATTGCATGGATGTTGCAGAGCTACGGGGGAAGAAGGTCTGTGTTGACTGTGGGTTTTTTTCTCCTCACAGAGGACAGTTCTTTAAATACTCATATGTGGCAACATAAACACTGGATTCAGATGTAAAACAAGTCCAATTAACAGCAAACAAAAAGTAGTTCTGGGGCTTCTATTCCACGTCTACAGCCTGAGGAAATACTTGTAGTGTATTTCCACTACACGAAATCTTGATATCTGTGGTGAAGTTCAGTGCTTGTAAACAAGTTATTATTAGATAACTAGTGAAAATACATAGAATTTTTGTGACTCTTTCTATATTGAATCAGATACTCATAGTCCAAATGACCATAGTTTAGGACATCACTACACTATTCATCTGTGTGTAGATCTCACCAGTACTGCAGTCATAATAGCGGGGATGTAGAGGCAACCTGATGGCTGGTTATGTATTTTGGAGTGAGTCATCTTGAAGTAACCAAGATTTTTGGATATGACTTTTGATAAGTGCTCTCACGTCATGTACATTAACAATAAATGCTACAGTAAAACAAGACAAATTGAACAGAGAGATGAAACTCAAAGGATATGTGCTGTGAAGCTCCATTGCATGTCTCAATCTATGTTTTGTATATTGTTAAAAAAGAAGTTTGCCAAACACATCATTGCAATATAATTTACAATTACAATTATTTTTGAGAGAGAATCAAAACCTCTAGCTCTTATATGGATGAATAACAACAAAAGAAAAAATGTGAATATTAAGTTATTTCCAGTAGCTCTAATTTCTGCAGGTAGAACAAGAAATGCTATAGAGTTGTCACTTCTGGTACTTCGCATTTAGCTCATAGAGATACAAATGTTATTAGATAATAACTCTGGTTTGTAAGTTGATGGTTTTCCTGTGGTTTGGGATTGGTTTTGTTCTCTGTATTTATTATATAATTAGCTAAAGGTACATGCTTTAGTTTTCCAAATATTTCCTTTTTGATAAAGATCCTTTGAATGCTAAGGAGTTAACTTGGTAAAACATCAAGCAATGCTTGTGTAAGTCTGCTGAAGGCAGTGGTGTACAATGAGCGTGAAAGCTGCTACTGATGTGTACAGCACAAGTCTTTCATGCTTTCATAGAATTCTCCATTCCTGTCAGCTGTTTAGAATTGAAACGTCTCTTATCAATCTTTACATCGGTTAGTAACAATTTAAAGTACACATGTTTAAGCTTAATGCAAGAAATCATTTTCCGAGGTTTAGATGCTTGTAAATTAAATGAGGAGGAATGGGTTCCCCCCCTACCACCCACACACCCTTTAGAACCTAGCAGCTAGAAAAAGTGTTTTGTGTTGCTACAGTAAGTATCAGTCTCTTAGCTCTTCTACTTTATTCACTCAGGGACTAATTACCAACTTTTTACATGAAACAGCCTTACTCTGGGCTCACAGTGGGGCGCACATCTTTTTCTATCCTTATTGGAAAGTAAACCCTTAGGTCTTCTGGAATATATTATGTGTTTTACAAGAAGTAGCAATTGCTTTTCTGTCAAACAAAGAATTTTTGTTCTCTATAGCTTACTTTTGACAATTAAGACAAAACCAGAATTACAGTATGTCAGGATCTGCTCTGCAGTCACAGTAAAGATCTGCCAGTATTCCCAGAAATCCCCCCATTTTGATTATTTTCTGCATCTGTTATAAAACTCTGCATTAAGCTAAAACTGCAAACACAATTCAGCCTGAAGAGAACACTTTTGCATATTTTCCCCCAAAATGGGTCTGGTCTTTAGAGGGGAAAAATATTTAGGTTTCAGAGAGATTTTCTCCCTCTCATATTCCAAACATGAAATACTGAAAATTTGGTGGTGTACTAATCTGTAGAGAGCTTCCCTTGGTCTGGGGATTTTGAAAAGAAAAATGAAAGAGAATGAGAGATTTAAATTTGAAAACCAGTAATTCCTTAGGAGCAGCGTAAATATTTCCCAAAGAAAGCTGGTTCAATTTTACTGCTCACATCCCTCATCAGATACTCTTTCTACAGGAAGCAATCAGGAGGCACGTAGACAGACAGCTGTGCTGCCTCCCTGCATTTTCCACCACTGCAAGTCCTGTGTATTGCAAGGATGAAATAAGGTTGTGTTTAGGCTCCTCTGTGGCGAGAAATTTCTCCCTTTCACAAGGCTGGAAACAGTCTTGTGACAGATACTCCTTGAAATAGTACATGATACCAGCCCAGGATTGAGCTTTCTCACCCTGAATGGGCTGACGAACCCCATCATTTAAGGACTTCA